AATGCACTGTCACGAATCAAGGGATATACGCCCGAGTTGTTAGTCCTTGGAAAGAGTCGCCGAATTCCAGGTAGTTTGAGCGATGATTCAGAAATCAGTTCGAACATTGCGGCCTTGCAGTCAGAAACCGAGCAGTCACAGTTCCACCACCAACTCGCCCTTCGCGAGAGTGCTCGGGCGGCATTTGTCCGTGCTGACAACTGTCATGAATTGCGAAGGTCCCTGCACAGTCGCTCACGACCAGGACGTAATTTATACTCGGTTGGCGACTGGGCCATGTATTGGAAGAACCAGAAATGGCAAGGTCCGGCTAAAGTTCTCATGCTCGATGGGCAAAACCTGATTTGGCTGAGTCACCTCACTCGATTGATCCGGTGTGCTCCAGAACATCTTCGTCAGTTGTCCACCCGGGAATTAGGAGACCTAAAGGCACTACCAGCAGATGGTGCACCCCCAAAGCCTGGGACCGGTGTTTTCCAATATCACCAGCTGACCGAAAGTCCACCAGCAGGAGCCGGGTATTTCAGTAACAGTTCCTCGTCCCAGACTGCCATTCACAGGTCCCCATCATCGCATCGTCCTGAAGCTTTGGACCCCACAGTAGAAGCATCCCCGGAAGATGAGAATAACCTTGGATCCAATGCCCCTCTGAGTGTTCATTCCGAAGCACAGCCAGACGCCGAGCCTGAGAACCTGCCGAATGTCCCATCGGCACCAATGAGTGTGGATGGCACTGACACAGCATTGGACCCCAGCTCAGTACCTGTTCCCGAGGTAGATGACGATGAGCTCATCTCGCAAGAGGTTGTAGAGGACTTTTGGGAAGAAAAAGAACACTGTTTGATTCGACATCATGTGAAGCCCCGGTTGCAACTGTTCATGCCGACAACAAGTCTTAAGTGTCCTTGGCCTCTTGATCAGTTAGGCACCAGAATCACTCAGGGAGTTTACCGTGATGGGAATACCCTGTCCTTTCGTGAACAATGGTTTCAGAATCCCACTGCTCCCAGATGGTTGCCCGAGATTTGGACAGGTAAGACGATCTTCTTGAAAGACAATAGGACACCAGATCCCATGAGCATTCCAGAAACAGTCTACAACACGGAACCACTAGAAAATCATGCATGCATCGAACTCGAAATCGTCCTCAGTGCCGAAGAGATCCAACAATGTTGTAACAAAAGGTACTCTGATCAGGTCATCTATTTGGCATCCCAAGCCAAACGACAGAAAGTAGAAATCAAAATGTCGGATCTCAAGGGGAGCGAACTTCAAGAAATGTTAGGTGCCAAGAATAAAGAGATAGATCAATGGTTGGCCACCGAAACTGTCCGTCGCATTGCTCGGAATCGCATCCCCAATGAGCAAATTCTTCGAACTCGTTGGGTTCTCACTTGGAAACCACTTGATCCACAAGAACAAGCCGAAACTGGCAAAACAAGGAAAGCAAAGGCTCGCCTTGTCATCCTAGGGTTCGAGGACCCAGCCATAGAAACACTGGAGCGTGATGCTCCCACTTTAGGGAGAGACAGCCGATCCTTAATATTGCAGACTTTGGCCAGCACACAATGGGAGCTTCACTCATTTGACATCCGAACCGCCTTTTTGAGAGGTAGTCGACAAGACAATCGCATCCTAGGCATTGAGCCTCCGTCAGAGATGCGCTCAAGAATGCAGCTTGAGTCCACAGAAGTTTGCGAACTCCTGAAATCAGCATATGGTTTGGTCAACGCTCCTTTGCTTTGGTACCATGAGTTGAAGGGAACCCTCCTGTCTCTAGGATTCCAAATGTCTCCCCTCGATCCATGTGTTTTCGTATTGCCCAAAGGACAGTCTCGAGAAGCAGATCTCAATATACATGGCATTTTGGGTATCCACGTTGACGACGGTATAGGTGGGGGTGATGAAGTCTTTCATCAAAAGATCAAGTTGTTGGAGAAGAAGTATCCTTTTGGAAGCCATCGCAAAAGGGAGGTAACTTTCACAGGTCTTCATATCAAACAAGAACAGAATCATGAAATTGTTGTCGATCAAAAAGAATATCTTCAGGACATTCCGTCCATCGCCGTGTCTCGAGATCGTCGGAACGATCTAAAGGCTCTCGTCACACCACCGGAATTGCAGGCCCTGCGGGGATTGATCGGAAGCCTTCAATATGCGGCCACAAATACCCGTCCTGATATCTCCTGTAGACTGAGCTTACTTCAGGCACGGATTCCCATTGCCACTGTACAGGATCTTATGAATGGGAACAAATTGTTGTTTGATGCAAAACGCCATGCAGAAGTGAGCATAAAATATAAACTCATACCAATTTCCCAACTCCGGTTTGTTTCGTTCTCTGATGCAGCATTCGCCACACGTGAAAAAGCACATTCCCAAAAGGGATGCTTGATCATGGCAACCAATGAACAGATTGATAAGGATGTTGCATCTCCTGCCAGCCCACTGACCTGGTATTCGAAGAAGATTTCAAGGGTGGTAGGAAGTACTTTGGCATCAGAAACATATGCCCTTTCGGGAGCTTTAGATCTCCTCAGCTGGACTCGCCTGCATTGGGCCTGGTTGATTTGCCCCTCTCTCGAATGGCGGCATCCCGAAAAGACTCTTTTGAGACTTCCGAAAGCCTATGCCATTGTAGATTGCAAATCCCTGTACGACTTATTGCAGAAGACATCGATACCTCAGTGTTCCGAGTATCGTACAATGTTAGAGGCCCTGATCATCAAAGATCGTCTGTCCGAAGGAGTCGGTGTCAAGTGGGTCCATTCGGCAGCACAACTTGCCGATGCTCTCACCAAGGATATGGATACCACGCCACTGCGGATTTTTCTAGCTGTAGGCACCTGTCGAGTCCATGACATCGATACTATACTTCAACAGCGGGCCGACAAGAAACTTCGAAACCAATGGCTGAACAACAACCAAGAGTGTGCTCATCAATGCTCTCACTGCACAAAACAATAGAATAGAGATTTTTAGGAGTGTGAATTTTGTGAATCCTGTCTGCCAGGTTCTCCATGACATATCCGTCTGTTCGAACACCATCGATCCGCATGCTTCCGTTCGGCCCGAGAGTCAGGGGGCTTAGGCGGCATGGCCCTTGCGTAGGGCATTTGGTCTCAGGGAGGCCATCCGTGGAGACGACTGGCGAGGACGCCACAGAGCTTGGAAGAGAGGGAAAACAGTTTCCGCGCCAGGGGCGCCCGTTGCTTGTTGTGTGAGGTTGGGATCCGGGAATCCCTGACATTGCTACCAGTGTGGTATCACTCCGATTCCACAATATACTATATGTATATATATATATATAAGTAATCAATTGTGTTCATTCTCAACCTCCCTGGCGCTAAAAAGCTTTGGCGCCCACTTTAACAATGAAGTGCGGCAAAGGTCAGCACAGCTAAAATCACCAGCCAGGTCCTTGGTGCACTTTTTCGGTGGAGGCCATCGCTATTATCAGGTTGGAGGCCATGGCTATTAGGCCATCGCGATTAGGTTCAAGGCCATCGCTCTTAGGTTGGAGGCCATTGCTATTGGGCTGGAGGTCGAGGCCATCGCTTTTAGCTTGTGGTTTTTACAAAGCCGTCCATTTTCTTTTCGGTGCACCTTTTTGTTTGGTGTTGGAATGGATTGGAAGATTGGAGATGATTGGAGGAATGGTTGAGGTGCATCGTGGAAGATTGAAATCCAGTCGTCACTACAGGAAGACGGGTACGGTATTGTCAGTGTATTGTCACAATATTGTCAGTATGGTTTGTCCGAAGATTCGGCTTGCAGTGAGGCTGTTCCTCTTCTGATTCACCATTGTGAGCCGAATCCAGCTCGCCCTACCACAGCAAAATTGATATAAATAGGCCTCACAAGAACAGAAACCAGCTATAACCAGCTCCAATGCCCTGCACACGCGATCGCAAAGCGATTCCTCAACTTTGCCAAGCAGCACAGCGCCAAGGAGGCTCTCCGATGCCGATGCCATGCCTCTCCCACTGTGGGTGGACATCCGTTCCAGGGTTCCACATGGGTGGGATGTGTCTTGAGTGGAAGGTATGCATTCCATGGCCTGCATGGTATTCCAGCCCCATCGTCCCCGGAAAAAGACTCTTGGCATCTTCGAGAAAACACACAGCGCTCCACCGAGGTCAGTTCGGATGGGTTTTTTCGGTCACTCCAAGAACCTACACCCTACAGTATCCTGCAAGCCAACTGGCATCAAGCAGTCCCCATCTCATTCCTCCCAACACAGCATCGCCACCCTAACAGGTGAAGCAAACCCACCCAGGACATGTCGGCCCCATGCCTGTTCTTCCTGGCAGCCGTTGAGCCGCTGCTTTGACCCACGCCCATGGCTTCGCGGGCATCGGGTGCATCCTGCTACTGCGCTGCGGTGTGTGCGAAGCCTCACGCGACTCCCAGGGTGCAGCGGAAATCCGGTCATACCATGTGCTCCCCTCACGAAAGAGTGCGACCATAAAGAGATTTGAACCTGTCCATGAGATTGAGGACGCAAAAAAAAGCGCAATGAAGCCATTAATGGCTTGAGGACCATGCATCATGATAGAACATGACTAGAAAAAGGCTCCAAATGCCTTCTTCATCCGCGGTCCCGATTCCAAAACGAGTCTCGACTTGGGGCCTGAAGTCCTTCATTGGGTTGCACCACGTTGGAGGCCATCGCTATGCATTTGCTTACAGGCCTCAGGCCATCCCAAGGACTAGCCCGAAGAAAACAAATACGTGCTGCAGACGCACCGCGCTTTTTCTGCCAAGAACTTCCTTGGGAAGTGTATCCGTAAAGCCAGCTGCGGCTTGGGGGGGTTGTCTTTGGGTAGGCCTGACCTGGCCAAACTGCCAAAGGTTCCCAAAGATTTCAAAAAGATTCCCGATAATTAGCTCTGCTGCCCAAAGGGCCCTTGTAGGCCCCAGGGCTTCACGTCGATCGTTGCTGTTGGCGAGCATCCCAAGGCTTCACACGTCAATTACCACTAACCCAGTGTCCATGTGAATCGTGCAAAGCCTTGTCTGCTGCGGCAACTGGCGACAACTAGCGTCCTTCAAAAAGCTTGAATGTTGAAAGGTGCGAAAATCGGCTGAACCGGATTGTCCAGTCAGGTGAGATACCAATCACCACGTCGAACACGATCACCAGCGAAGTGTGCCAATGGTCAAAGACAAGGAAAGTGCCAACCAAATCCTAAGAAGTGGGTCGGACCAAGAGAGGAAGGATTTTCTACCAGGATCTACCAGGGCTGACACAGGCTTGCACATGCTTGCCGCGTACTTCATTCATCTACATCATGTCTACATCTTGCCTTGTGCAAAGAACTGATGTAGTAGCAAGAAGCTACTAGGAGCAAGGGCATCGCTACTAGCAACAAAGGGCATCGCTACTAGGAACAAGAAGCTACTAGGAGCTCATCACTACTATGGATCCTATTCTCAGCACATGTTCAGGTCAAGTCAAGTCGCACCTCCACCTCCCCAAAATTTGGCCAGAGATGCAAAGCCGTGAGGAGGTTTTGCGCGGCCATTCCTGGGTCCAGCACAAACATCCGAATCGGACTTGGGCCAAGCAAAGCAATAAGAACTGGAAACCAGGAGCTTGGAAACAAAAAAGGTTTTGTAAGTTTTGTATGAAAGTTCTGGACACACATGAAGGTTGGAGGCCATCGCTAAGGTTGGAGGCCCATCCATGGACTCACATGCATTTCGTGCCAAACGGCGCCCCAGCACGACCCCAAGTTGGGTGGCGACGAGGAGGGCGAGGCTGATCAAGAGGCTAGGCAGCAGGTCGCAGCATGGCCATCGTGCGGCGAAGCGGTGGCCTCAAAACGGTGAGCAGTGAGCTCCAGCAGAGGTTGAAGAACCCGAAGGTTCGACTATCCTTTAGAAACCCAGGTCCTAGTTCAGGTCACTGGCTACCTCTGTTGGAGTGGCGTGAGTGGGGGGATGCGAGTGATCAGCTTTGGTGAGGAATCTCATGACTCAAAGTGACAAATGGTGAGTCGGTAAGCGAGGTTTAGGCATCCAAAGGGGTATGCTTTGGAGCCCTCGGGAAACTAGAGGGCCAAAGGTCACAGCTGGCGTGCTTGGGGTTCTTAAGAGTGAAGATGTTCTCAATGCATTTAGCCCTTACAGGCCTTGGCCATCGCCATGTCAGTTAGGCCTGCTGTTGTTCTGAGGCCTTGGAAAACCATTAATATGTTGTTCAAGTTCAAACCGTGACCAACCCAGGCTTTCCGCCCTGTCAGCCTCTGTCCCAGTCTGTCAAGTTGCACAAGTTGAGGATACACATTTTGGCGCAGAAAATCATCCAAAAGATGCCCGTGCTGAGCACCCTTGCAACAACCTGGCCGAAACAGAATACTGGATGGCCCCTGGCAAAGCTGCTTGAGAACTATTTAGATCTACCATATAAATTTAGATGGTTTCTTGTCTTAGGGCCCTTGTTCCTCAGGCCATCACTATTGATTAGGTTGGAGGCCATCCCAACGCTATTGGGTTGGAGGCCAATGCTATTAAATTATTAGGCTGGAGGCCATCGCTCTTAGGTTGATCGCTATTAGGTTGGAGGCCATCGCCTATTAGGTTGGAGGCCATCGCCATTAGGTTGGAGGCCATCGCTGTTGGGTTGGAGGCCATCGCCTATTAGGTTGGAGGCCATCGCCATTAGGTTGGAGGCCATCGCTGTTGGGTTGGAGGCCATCGCCATTAGGTTGGAGGCCATCGCGGTTGG